CTTCACCTTCCCCACAATGCTGCGGATCTTCTGGCTGGATGCTCGAGAGCTGACCTTTACTGCCTGCTTCACTCAAATGTTCTTTATTCACACCTTCCAAGATTTTGAGTCAGCCATCATACTGGCAATGGCCTTTGACCGCTATGTGGCCATTTCTCGTCCTTTGCACTATTCTTCCATCCTCACCAATACTGTAATTGCCAGGATAGGTTTAGCTATTGTTGTGCGAACCTTGACTGTGCAAGTACCTCTCTCGATCCTCTTGAGGAGGCTGTACTTCTGTCACTCCAATATACTCTCTCATTCCTACTGCCTGCATCCTGACATCATAAAGCTCTCCTGTTCCAACACCAGGATCAACAGCATCTTTGGACTTTTTGTGCTACTCTCCACTATGGGACTTGATTTTCTCCTCATTCTCCTGTCTTATGTGCTGATACTGAAAACTGTACTGAGCATTGCTTCCCATGGTGGCCGCCTCAAGGCTCTGAACACCTGCATCTCCCATGTCTCTGCTGTGATCATCTTCTTCACACCCATGATCTGCCTGTCAATGCTGCACCGTTTTGGCCCAAGACTTCCAGCACAGGGCTATGTAACCATAGCCAACATGCATTTCCTCATTCCTCCTGTGATGAACCCCATTGTCTATGTGCTGAAAACCAAGCAGATACGAGACAAAATCCTAAAACAGAAAAATCCTAAATACCAGAAGAATTCGAAGTGATATTTATAACATAAATCTTGGTAAATGTATATAACACTAAATGACCATTAATTCGACTTTTCCATCTGAAATGGTGTTTCATGTCTGTCTTTATGTAGATGTGGAGACAAAGAAGTAAAGATCCTAGTATACTGTATTTTTGCAAATTGCATATGTTACAGTTTACCAGATATAGCTGATATTTAAATTTATCATGTACATTTCCTTTTTACAATTTCTTTTCAGTCAGATGCTTTTTTATGTCAGAATTTGTTTCACCAAACATGGCTTATGATTTTCTTTTCTGCTTTCTTGAAGGCACACTCTTCATTAGAGTTTTTATCAAGTTTATTAATTATGTAAATTCAGTAATTGCCCATTTATTACATCAGTCTTTAGACGAATTTTACAAATACAAGGTAACCTCTTCATTGTCTTTTCACAGTTCTTCCTGCCAAATAAGTTGTGACTTCTTATGGAGCAACATAGATTGTAATAGCAGTAAGTAGGATGTAAAGGCTGGAAAGTCTAGTTGGATAAAATAAAGTTAGGATAATTAATTCTTGTAAGATCATTTATAATAGACAAGTTTAAAAAATGGTACAGTTTTAGGAATCAAAGGATAGAAAAGTCATTTATAAAGTGATAATGAAGCTAAACAATTATTTTCCACTCTGAATCTTCTCTTATCCATGGAAGGGAGAAATAGTGACATCTTTGACGTGCTCTTAGAAAAAGCCCTTAAATTTTGTAATTGTAGAAGTAAAACT